TCTCTCTGTGGACAGCCTGGTTTTAATGTCTCTGTGTGGACAGCCTACACTCATTAGGTCTCATTATCAGACATGAAGCCTCAGAGTGGACAGTTTTTGTCCATTACTGGTGCGTGGTTGTGTTTGGAAGGGCGGGGGCTGTCCACGCACACAAACAACCCTCGTCCTCCCCACTTCTCGTTACCTTGCGTTTTCTGGTCTCGGTCGAACCGCTCCACACGAAGCACTGATAAATGAGCCTCAGGTTCTGCTTCCAGTTGTCCACTTTGAAGCCGTTCACATGAGGACAGCCTGCGGGACTCATGGCAGCCACAACATCCGGTTTTACTGCGATGGAACCTGCTCAGAGCACGCAGCAGCCCCCGGTCCAAACGGGCTCCCCCCTCCTCAGGGCTAGCTCGCCAGGTTCGTTATCGTAGTAAGGCTGCTGCGTCCGGGCTAACTGGACATGTCCTGGTGTCGGTGGTTGGAGACACGCGCAGCGGAAAACATTCAAAGCTAATTGAATAATGTGTCCGTTCTGAAGACAAATACAATTAACGCATTAAAGTCTAGCAGCACGCGGCACATGCAGTTCAGCGAAATCACTAAATGACATAATATTAGCACGCTGGCTAAAGTTGGTAGCATTGGAATTTCAACAGTGGCTTCTACGGTGAGCATAAAGACCCGCCTCTTTCATACCGGCGGACCAATCAGAGCCTGGAGGCTGGCGTGATTGGCGTGTGCCAAACGGTGTTTTTTTTTTCTTTTCACTAAGCTCCACCCCATAAACGAGTACTGCGTCGTGATTGGTAGCTTCAGTGGCTGCGCACGATTTGTAACTCGGCTGACAAAGCGACAAGTCTGTTTGCAAACAGGCGGAGTTTGCACGCGATTATAAGCATAATGTCCCTCTGAAAACTCGTTACCAGAAGCAAGAATATATCGCATGACCGGTTGTCTATAATTTAAGATAATACCTTTATCCACTGGCACATGCCTTGCTCTCCTTTTAGGATCTCCCGTTCCCGCTTATCGCATTGAACCAGGTCTTCAGTCTGTAGCATGAAAAGGAGTGCGCCCACTGCAAACCACATCCGCTTGTGTTGCTCAGCTTCAAAGCGACATGTGTGGTTATCAGCAGTACACAACCACTCAAACAAACCTTAGAGAGGCACAACCGACAGTAATATTCTTAAACAATTTATTAACAGACCCACAATCGCACTGCTCAAGCTCCCAGTCACATGACAGTTTGGTTTGACTCCGCTGCCTGCAACAAGCTGTCAAAACAGTTTTCTGTACAGAGCGACCTCTAGTGGATCTGATCTAAAACCAAGAAAGGAAAAACAAACCAAAACAAGGCGCACCGTTGTGTTCGACTTCTCCACAACGCCTAGCTTCATCAAAACTATGTCCATTTGTACAGTTTTGCAATCGATGGTATTTACATTCTAGCTAAGGAGGGAGAAGAAAACGATTGTTGACGTCTTTACAAATGTGGAACAGAACCATATTTATTCCTCGTCACATGTAATGCCCTTCAAGTTCTGGCTGTCATGCAGGAGAACCAAAACAAACAGTGAGATTATTCACACATATGTTTGGAACAGATAAGTCCAGTTTTATTGTTGTGGTTTGTGTCAATGCAGCAGTGGCGCTCCAACCTGAACATTGATAAATAAAACACTGACAAAACTAAGTTTTTTTTTTCCTTTATCTGTAAGGATCTTTTGTTATCCTTAAGACACGGTGAAGTAAGAATAACCAAATTTATCATCATTCCACACAATTAGATTTTCCTTGACCAATGTCCTTATGCAACAGATTGTTGTTTATTTTTCCTCTTTTAAAAAAAAATCCAACTCATCCCGGGAAGAACGTGTTGGGTGGCTGTGGCGTTCCGTCCCTGCTCAAGGCCCCTCATGAATAACTTGACGTTTTGCTACCAACATCGTCCTCCTGCGATCCCATACTCTGGAAGAAAATTTAAAAAGGCACAGTTCATAAACGTCACCTGTTAAGACGACAAACAGAACGACTGAAAATCGCTTTCTGCTGCATCACCATTAAAAAAAACACAAGCCAGCTCACAAAAAGATAGTCGGAAACGTTTAATAAAAATACCCTGAAGGGATTCTTCGATATCCTAGATTTTACTTTTGTTGCAAACAAGAATAATGATTGTGTTTTAAGCATTTCTTTTATAGTATCCAGTATGACACTTTATCTATGCTGCTGATTTCTTACCCATAAGCTGCTGAAATCAGAAGCATCTGCTCACAACTGACTCAGGTTCAGGCTCTTCATTTATATGATTATTGTTAGTGCATATTTTAGATCCTTATATATTATTTTTATTTATAGAATATATATATATTTTTTTTTTGGGTGCAACTGGACCTTGAGTACCCAATTTTGTTGCACCTCATGTACCATGTGATGCGAGTGACATTAAAGACACATGAACTTGAGTCTAACTTCATCGCAGACTCATCTTGAGCATGAAGGCGACAGTGGAAAGGAAAAACTCCCTCATGAAGAAGAAACCTTGAGCTGAATCAGGCTCAGGACAAGTGTCCATCTGCTACGACCAGATAACGGTAGGGGAAACAATATTAAAACAATAAATAAATCAATATTGGAAGGATGAAGCATTGGTGTATTTTCATATACAAAGCCATGTTAGGAAAATGACCATCGTACATCTGCTCCAAGTTCATTTCACTACAGAACGCACAGTCTCAGGACCAGGCTGTGGTTTGAGGTGCCCTTGGTGCACAGAGCCATTTCAGCCCATTGTCTTGGAATGACCTGCAGTTTAAGTTGAGGTTGGAGTCTTTCATTCCTTTATCTAGGTTTAAACAAAAACTGTCAGAGGTTTTAGTCACATATTGCACCTGTAATGTTTAAGTGTCTTAAATTGTGATATTATTTAAACTTGCATTGTATTTTGTGTTTTATTACCGCATGTTTTGTTCTGAATATTTTAATATTACCGTACTTTTTGCTGCATAGGTCGCACTTTTTGCATAAATTAGCATACCCTGCAACTTATACACCGAAGTGACTAATATACGTTTTTTTTTCTCCATATTTATAATAAATTTTTGGCTGAGATCTGACAAATTCATTCATTCTGACATAGAAAATATTGAACACTACCATATTCAGCCACTAGAGGGCCCTCGAGTAAAATGGCAAGCCAAGTGTCTCATTAATAGGTAAAAGTGGCTATTAATGAGACACTTGGCTTGCCATACCAAGCCACCTTCGTCTCACTCTGGAACTCCTGGAGAAAACGTCCAATCAGCTGCATGTCACCGCTCAGGAGAAATGCAGCTGATTTGACCATTAAAATGCATTTATTAAGGAAAAGCTCAACTAAGACACACCTTTTTATAATGTTGAACAAACAAATAATTGTTTTTAGGTGGTTATCTTGGTAAATTTCGATGAAATGCACAGTGAGTCCTCCCTCTGCACGCTCCAGCAGCTGCAAATCTGCTTTCAAAATGCAGCTGATTTGACCATTAAAGTGCATTTATTAAGCAAAAGTTGAACTGAGACACATCTTTGCTATAATTTCAAGCACACAAATAATTGTTTTTAAATGTTACATCTTGTTAAATTCTTGTTAAAGTCCTCCCGTGCACGCTCCCGCGACCGCCATTTGGCAGCCAATCGATTTTTGTCATACCAGCCCACATTTCCAGGAAGCCAGCAGTGACGCATAATAGATGCAACTTACACTTCCTCTTTGCACTGTAGAGTTTCAGCTGGCAACGGCGGATGGCATGGTGGATTGTGTTCACTGACAATGCTTTCTGGAAGTATTCCTGAGCCCATTCTGTTATTTTCTTGACAGTGGCATTCCTGTTTGAGGTGCAGTGACGTTTAAGAGCCCGGAGATCACGAGCATCCAGTAGAGTTTTACGGCCTTGACCCTTACGCACAGCAATTGTTCCAGATTCTCTGAATCTTTTGATGATGTTATGCACGGTTGATGATGATAACTTAAAAGTCTTTGCTATTTTACGCTGGGTAACACCATTCTGGTATTGCTGCACTATCTTTCTGCGCAACAATGGTGGAATTGGTGATCCTCTTACCATCTTGGCTTCTGAGAGACACTGACACTCTGAGAAGTTCTTTTATACTCAATCATGTTGTCAATTGACCTAATTAGTGTTAATTGGTCTTCCAGCTGTTCGTTATATGCTCAATTTCCTTTTTCCAGCCACTTATTGCTACTTGTCCGAACTTTTTTGAGATTTGTTGATACTGTGAAATTTTGAATCAACATATTTTTCCTTTAAAATGTTACATTTACTCTGATTAAACTTTTGATCTGTCATCTATGTTATATTACGAATAAAATATTGACATTTGCCATGTCCACATCATTGCATTCAGTTTTTATTCACAATTTGTTTAGTGTCCCAACTTTTTTAGAATCTGGTTTGAAAGAGATTAATAATTTCAATAGATTTCTTTTCTGGTAAAAAAAAAAGGTTTAAATAAAACCACTGCTATCATCTAATGTTCTTAATATTATCAAAATATTTTAGGAAACTGGATAAATTTCTGCAAAGATCCTCCAGAGTGAAGTGGACCTCATCTACCTGCATTACTCCAGGAGCACTGATGATGCATGCTTGGTGGCATTTACCAAATTTCAAACTCAGCTAAACATTAACGTGTTCAGGTTTGTTAAAATATCTTGAAATCATTAGTACACTGTAGTGTTTTTCCTTTGGTCTTCACACTGACTGCAGCGTGTTTCAACTTTTCTGTCTGTAAACTAAACCGTCTCTTTACATCATGTTCATGTTCATGTTTGTGCTGATGTTCAATGTTTTATGTTATGAGTGCTTAGTTGATGTTTTTCTTAGTTCATATCTTAGATGTTATTACTGTTTTTCTTATACATTTTATTGTTGGATGTAACTGGGACCCCGTGTACATAATTTCGCTCCACCACATGTACCACATGAGGTGCGAATGACAATAAAGAAACTCTGACTCTGACTCTGACATCGTTACATACCAAAATGTTACTTGATAGAAAAGTGAGGTTTGGCACCTTTCATGCCATCATTCCTCACATTAGCTGACGTTCACCAATGTTTGTCTTCTTCTTTCAGCTTTTCCCTCTTCAGGGTCTCCACAGTGAGTCATCCTCCTCCACCTCACTCTGTCCTCACTCCACCTACCTCCATGTCCTCTCCAACTGCATCCATATATCTCCTCTTTGTCTTTTTCCTGCCAGCTGCATTTCTAACATCCTTCTACCAATATACCCACTGTCCCTCCTCTGGACATGTCCAAACCACTGTCCCTCCTCTGGACATGTCCAAACCATCTCAGTCTGGCCTCTCAACTTTATCTCCCAGTTGTTCAACCTGTGCTGCACCTCTGATGATCTCATTCCTAATCTTATCCATCCTTGTCACCCCTAAGGAGAACCTCAACATCTTCATTTCTGCCACTTCCAGTTCTTTCTCCTGTCTTTTTGTCCATGTCTCTGTCTCCAGACCATACAACACAGCTGGTCTCACCACAGTCTTGTAAACTTTTTCTTTGACCTTTGTTGACACCCTTTTGTCACAAATCACTCATGAAACTTTTCTCCATCACTCCATCCTGCCTGGACTCTCTTCTTCACTTCTTTACCACACCCCCCATTTTCCTGGACAGTGGAGCCCAAGTCTTGAAGTCCTGCACCTTTGTGACCTCTGCTCCTTGCAGCCTCACTGTTCCACCTCCTCCCTCTCATTCACACACATGGACTCTGTCTTACTACGGCTGACTTTCATTTCTCTTCTTTCAAGGGCATACCTCCACCTCTCTAAGTTCTCTTCCACCTGTTCCCTGTTCTCATCAGATCACAGAATCATCTGCAAACATAAATGTTTGTAATTTCCTGTAATAAACTGTTTGCACTGAGGGGCACTGCTATAATTAAAAACTAACATTCAGAACAGGTCTCTGACATGAAGCATGAATCCTATAGAAAGAAGTGAAAACATCGTCTCACCTTCTGCACAAACTGTGGATTTACTGTAATTTCTTGATCCATAGACTTTAGCTTTTCGTCCAGCTCTATACATTTCAACATCTGTAAAGTAAAAACAGGCCAGCTTTAAAACATAGAGCAAGACTTGAAAACCAGCAAAGGCCTGCTGGCTGGCTGTGGCGGTCCATCACCTCTTGGTCTATTTTGTGGAGCATGGCAGGGTTGTTGTATTTTTCTGGGTTGTCATGGAAGCAGACCATGCCATCTTTTTGGTTAATGCTAGCATAGATCTCACCATCCTCAATCTGAAACAGCAACGAGAAGAAACGCAACGAAAAAGTCAACGGGGTGTGCAGAAATAATGTCAAACACGTTCAAAAGTAGAGACAAGATCATTTTATGTGAATATGATAAACAACAAAATGTGCATCATCTGTTGAGTTTGTGCAGGGCTCACCATGTGCAAGACGTATTTCTCTGCTTCCTGCGGACCTGAAAGCTGCACTCGACTCGCCATGTCTTGCAAAGACAACGTCAGGAAGGTCTGCAGGGGTTGGAGGAAACACAAACTGGTTTCAGATCTGATGAGCACATTTACTCTCATCTGATTCCAGTTACGGAGCTGAAAACTACAGCAGACTGATATTTAACCTAAAGAAACCAGAAATGTGCCACTGATGTCACGTGCACACGTCGTTGTTGCACTGTCACCTCATCATCATGTTAAATTATTATTTGTATATATGAATATTTCTGTTCAGTTCCCTGAGATGACTTCTGTTGTGACTTGGTGCTAAATAAATAAAGTGGATTGGATTGAACACAGAATGTTGTTCTCATGCACTAAACGTTCAGTGTGGCTGAGCTGATGCTCGTCAGGGCTTGAATGTATGCAGGACACACAACTCCTTTAGTTACTGCACAACTTTTCTAACTTCAGCCAACTGTGACTGATCTGGACTATTTCTGACAGCATGCTCAATCCAGTTCAGTTTATTTATTTAGCACCAAGTCGCAACAGAAGTCATCTCAGGACACTGAACAGAAACATCCACATTATTTATCTGAGGAGCAGACTGCTTTGAATTTAACTCCATCAAACAACTCTCATCTTGAGCAAGCATGAAGGCGACAGTGGAAAGGAAAAACTCCCTCATTTAACAGAACCAGGCTCAGGACAAGCAGCCGTCTGTTTCGGGCGGCTGGGTTTGAGAGGAACAGATACACAATGGCAGGTCAAGAATCACGTTAAGATACAAATAATATCAAATGAAAACTATTCAATTTTAACAATTCATTTAAAGAAATGAGGACAATTTGTCGTCCAGTAGTCTAAACTTAAGGCAGCATAACAAGCCAACCCTAACTATAGGATTTAGGAAAAAGGAAAGTCTTAAGCCCAGTCTTAAAACTGGACAATGTGTCAGGAGCATACAGGTGGGTGGCAACAGTGCCGAGATGGAAAGACATCAACAATGACCTTAGAGAAGCTCGCCAGTTGGACAAGCATCATAAAGCCATTTAGTAGTAATTACCAACCCTTCATTCTAGAGTAAGAAATATTATTTACGAGTGGAAAACCATGAAGCAAGCTGCCAGTCTTCCCAGGACATTCCAACAAATTCACCCTAAAGTCAGACCGTGCAAAAACAAGAGCCTCAGACCTTACAGGCTTGAATGATTCAAGTGACAGTACGTATAGAAAATGATGGTTTTCACTGAAGACCAGAAAAGTGAGCGAGTTGTGATGTTCAGACAAACATGTAGGCTTGTGTAAAAATGTTCTCGACACAGACAGGTGGAGCTGGCTGGACATGATGCTCAGTGCCATGCTGACTCGTGCAGGAGGCTTTGGGCTCCTTTTGCAGACATAAAACTTGGGCAGTCATTAAGCTAACCATGAATATCTAACATATGTTTTGCTGAATAAATCGTGTTTTTTTGCACAAGTTACATGCCCTGCGACTTAAAGGCTGAAGCGACGTATTCATGGATATTTTCCATATTTATAAATCAATTTTTGGCTGAGAGTTGACTGTTTTCATTCATTCTGACTAAAAAAAAAAAATCTCAAATTTTTTCAAACAAATTAAAATAAGATTGCCAAAAAAAATAGCAAAAACAGCTAGATTATAAGGCGAAGGTAGAAAAAAATATTCTAGTCAGATCAGCTTGACAGCTGAAGCTCGGCCCAAACTGAGCCTCACAAACTGATCCCACACGAGCAGCAGATCTACGACAGACCAAACAAATCCGGTCCAGGTAAAGTCCAGACCTCTGCTTGACGGCAACTGAAGCAACTTAATGAAGAAAAATGGCAAAAACAACAACAATTATTTGAAGTTATTGTAGGTGCAGAGCGACGGAGTGGACTTTGGGAGTTTCACACAGCTTCTTCTATCCGACGTGTTTCTGTAAATATTGACTGTGTCGTACGTCGAGAGTCGACCTGAGCTTCAACTTCCAGCTGTTGGAAAATCTGGTTTTGTTCACGGATCGCTTTAGACTAGTAAGTGTTTGAACAGTAACAAGCTGCTCAGACGTGTGGACACTTCAACCATATTTTAATGACCAAGCTCTTATTGCATGGTTGCTCCTTTACCAGCAGTTAATTACCCAATCCCTGGCCCACTTGTAAAAACCACCGGCCCACCTTGGTTAGCCTCTGGATGTTCTTCTTGTAGAGGGAGGAGAGGCACTGTTTGACCAGGCCCGTGTTGTTGTCTCGCGTGAACGTTTCGCTGTGTTTGTTGACCAGGCCGCGCAGCTCAGACGGGTTGTTGGTGGTGTACACCTGAGCTAATTCATGATATGCGTTGCTCAGGGGCTGAGGCACAAGCAGAAAAGAGAGGACAGAAGACACGTTACTGTTAACGTTTGTGTTCACACAGCGAGCAACACAACTGAAGCAACAAAAGGATGTTTGAGGCTCAAATAGAGGATTTAGCTGCTCACCAGATTTTAGTCTCTTTTTTTTCCAATGCTTCTGTTGCTTTCAGTTCATAAAGTTATTAACTATAATACCAAACAGACTAAGTGACTGTTTAAAAATAATTATATTATGATGAAAGCGGTCTGTTCATGTTGTCTGAATTATTTTTGCCCCATCTGGCCAAACTGGGAAAAACTGATACTGAAGAGTGGAACTAAAATCGAGACAAATATTCTTACCAAAAGAAATCAAACAAATAAGAAACTAATGAGTTTGACTGGATTGACAGTGAAAGTGCTTCTTTCAATGATTGCACATTTTACATTTGAGTTAAAAACTGAAAATCCATAAAGTTCCTAATAAGTTTGGGGCCAGGGTAAAATATGCTTGTTTAAATACTCGTGTGAGACAAAATGGACACATGTAGAAGCAGAACCTGTTCCATTTAGGCTAGGGATGCACAATGCTATCGGATGACATTAGCAATTAAGTTAAATTTCAGACATTATTTATTTATTATTTATATATATATATATATATATATATATATATATATAAATAAAATATTATATTATATTTAATCATTTTCAGTCCCATTTGCATTTGGTAGCAGACCAAACTGACAAACACCATTCAGAATAATGTAGTATTTTAATTGCACAGCAGAGAAAACTATGTAGTCTCTGTAAGTAGGTCTAAGGAAAATATCAGTATTGGTATCGGTTAGCGGCCAAATAAGTTTTAACATATCAGCCATAAATCCAATATTGTGCATCCCTAATTTAGGCTCATTAGACAAAGTAAACAAGTTACAAAAAAGAAAAAACGATCCTTAAAAGTAGCATCTTTTAGCAGAGATGGAGACATTTGTGTGAATGATGTGCTCAGTAAATATAAGCTTTCAACCACAGAACTGTATTTTGTTTGAACAGATCTAATGCACGTGTTTATCATGACCACATCAACCTGCGTCCTCACACACGTTTTATGTATCAACCAATAAAACACTAAATAAAAATGAATGGGGTCTGCTGAAAGTGTAGAACCACTAGACTGAGGAACAGCTTCTACCCTGAAGCTGTTACTCATAAATCCCTAACCAGGATAATCACTGTAATTGGTGATATGTCACTTTGTCTGTGCTGCTGATCTCATGCTGCTGATCTCATGCTGCTGAATTCATTCATTCATACCCATCTGATCAGCACAGACTCATGTTCAGGCTGCTGTTCATACTTCAAACTGTTTTACATGATTAATGTTTAGTGTATATCTTAGATCCTTATAAACCGTTTATTTTTACACTTTATATTTTTGCTACTTTTGGAAGTAACTGGGACCCTGTGTACATAATTTCATTCCACCTCATCAGATGTGATGGAAATGACAATAAAGCTGTGCCGTGTGTACCTTGATGAACCTCCCTACTATTTGTGAGGTGTATTTGGGCAGCGGCTGCACTTTGCCGTGGAGGATGAGCGACACCAGGATGTACTTCTTATACGCTTCTAACATGATGTGGCTCACTGCCATGGCTGGAGTGGTTATTGCCTGTCAACAAAAAGAGACACATCAGGAACAACGCGGGCGCACCTGTGGCCTAAAGTGACCCGTTCTGAAGACTTCCTGTTTACAGCTAAAGAACTTACCTGTTCATAAAAATACAGTGCTCTTTCAAAGTTTTTGAGGCCCGTGTAGATCATGCCGCCATAATAGTAGTAACATAAAAAGTGCTTTGCATCATAAGCTCCATTCTCTTTGCAGATGTCCATCATGTCCACCTCCAAGAAGGGTAGAGCTGGCTTGAAGCACTTCGCTAACAAACACAGCTACAGGGAAGAGTTCAGGGGGTTGAGTGAGAGGGTCACACTGTACGGTCATAAAGTCATCAGAAGGAGTAAACGTCTCACCTGACACAGGTCTGCATGAACTGAGGTAAGTTGGTTTGTGTTCATCTGCATTTTGTCTATTGCCTGTTTTAGAACGACGACACCCCTCAATGGCTGTCAGAGGAAGAGAAAAGCCACGAGTGATTCTGCTGCAGCGTGCCGGGACATTCAAACATACTGAAAGCAACCGGGCTTTAAAACTCCACGGTCAAATATTTAGAGCGAGACGGAAAAAGGAAAAACATGCCACTCCTGGGTCCTGAAACTCTGCACAGAATAAATGATGGGACTCATGTGAGCTCTGATTGTGAGGATGATGATAAACCAAATCAAATGTCAGTGGGGTGGGGGGGCAGGAAGTTGCAGAAAAAGTTTGAACAGTGTCTCACACACAATCTACAGCTACAAGACACACCCCAATGCATGATGGTCTTCTTAAAGAACATGAAGCTAACACACAAGCATGTAACAGGAGAGGAAGGAGACGGTGGTTTATCTACCACACAGCTGGAGCTAGTGAAGACCAGAGGAGCTGATTATACCACGAGTTTGTCAACAGCTACTGTATGACTCTTAAAGTGTGTGAGGATATTTGTCCTACATATTATAAGACAGGAAACATCTAAAGCCCCGACTGCTGTCATCTGTCACGTCACTAAACCAGCAGTTTGTCAAAGAAACCAGCTCGTCTCAACAGAATCTCCTCATTTCTGTTCCAACACCCGGATTATTTATGGAAACTGAACATATCGAGCCACAAGGTGTTAATGAAAAAAAGACTAAAAACAAACAAAAACCACAGAAGTGCAGTCAGCCCCAACAGATTCCTTCAACTACCGTAATTTTCCCTGTATAAGTCACAATTTTTTGCATAAATTAGCGTGCCTGTGACTTACGCAGCAAAGCAACGTATTTATGTTTTCCCCCGTATTTATAACAAGTTTTTGGTCGAGATAAGACGACTTCAGTCTGGCATGGAAAATATTGAACATTACCATTTTCAGCCACTAGAGGGCCCTTGACTACTGTGGCAAGCCAACTGTCTCATTAATAGGTAAAAGTGGCTATTAATGAGACACTTGGCTTGCCATACCAAGCCACCTTCGTCTCGCTTTGGAACTCCTGGAGCAAACGTCAAATCATCTTCATTTCACCGCACCACCCAGGAGAAATGCAGCTGATCTGACCATAGAAGTGCATTTATTAAGGACGAGTTCAACTGAGACACACCTTCACTATCATGTCGAGCAAACTAATAATTAATTCTTTTTAAATGTTAATCTTGTTAAATTCTTGTTAAAGTCCTGCCGTGCACGCTCCCGCAGCCGTCATTTGGCAGCCAATCGATTTTTGGCACAACACCGGCCCACATTTCCGGGTTGTCAGCGGTGACGCGTAATGGATGCGACTTATTGATTTATTGACTTACTGATTTATGCAAAGCGATGCATTTATATTTATTTACACTTTATTAGACATATTTGGACTGACGCGACTTATACAGTGGTGCAACGTGTACGGCAGCAAGTAAGGTACTCGTTTTATATAAAAACTGCAGCAGAAGCTTCTGGAAGAGTCATGAAATAAAACAGAAGAACAGAAGTCAAAGTGAAGGAAAACACATTTCTGCTAAAGACAAGACATTCTATAATCTGCTGGTTTGTGTGTTCTGAACCCTCACCTGTTTCCGCTCTACAAGGGCGTTTGTCAGCTGGTGACAGAGACCAGCAACTGCAGGAGACAAAAGAACAAATCTACATTAAAAGCAGATAGTTACACGCTGCATGCACAGAACCTGTTTAAACTTGTTCACAGACAGAAATAATAAATACATTGTACTGTATAAGTAACAAAAGGAAGCAAGTGTATTAATGAAAGCAATATTTGTATTAAATGTTTAAAATCTTGAAAGCAAAATATAAACTTTACAACTTTAAACTTAATCTTTAGCGCTAAACTCTACTCCCCGGGTGCCAAATAACACGATGTGATGATCAAGAAGAACATCTACAAAAGCATGAATATCTTTCAAATCTAAGGTTGTACACATCAGAAACAAATGTCTGAGGTTCTATGTTTGAATCTACCCTCAGGCGCACACAAGACTCCACCTCGTCATGATTTATTAAACAAAAAGCCGTGTGTGAAAAACAAACTGCACTCCATGATGCAGCAGGAATTCTCAGAAGTCTGAGTTCAGCCTTTCCTGTGGCTGTGAGGGAAGTTTGGCCCACTCTTCTTTAGAACACTGCATCAGTTTATTGAGGTTTGCAAACATCTGTTTCAGCTCGGCTCTGTTAGGCTCCCACCACAGCACTGTAATCAAGTTTGGACAAGGGATGCACGATACTGGATTTTTGGCCGATATCAGATATTTTAAAACTTATTTGGCCTGTAACCGATACCAACACCGATATTTCCCCCTAGACCAACTTACAGAGACCACATAACTTTCTCTGCTGTGGAATTAAAATACTACATTATTCTGCGTGGTCTTTGTTAATCTGACCTGCTACCAAGTGCAGATGTCAAAAAGGAGCTGAAAGTGATGCAACACTTCAACTTGGATTATGTTTCATGTCAAATTTATTCAAGACGTTTACGCTAACACAACGACGACACTCGAACAGTGCAAATTTGTACATTTTCACAAATCTAAACTCCACCTGTTCACAAGTGACGAGCGTATAAGTAGTAGTGCATTAATAGATATACTTGACAGTTTCTTAAATAAAAAATTAACAAAACTTTTATATCGGTGAGTTTTTGTGATGGAATGGCCGATGTCCAATATTGAACTTTATTGCTAATATCGACCGATACCATGCCGATAATATTGTGCATCCCTAGTTTGGACCACTCTTAACAGTTTAATGTTTTTATTTCTGTTTCTGCCGTTCTCTTGTAGAGTAGCTGCTGTGTTCAGGATCATGACCCAGTTAGGTCCAAGCTTCAGCTGTCACACAGACCGTCTCACATCGACTCTAGAATCCTTTGGTCAAAGCTCATGGTCGACTCGGTGCCTACAGAGTGCACAGGTCTTGTGGCTGCAGAACGAGCCCAAAGCATCTCTCCTCCGTTAGTTTCACGTATCTTGTCCAAAACGTTCTCATAAACAGTGCTGTGGGTCATTCAGGCGAAACTTTGCAAACCTAAGTTGTGCTCCCAATTTGGCTGATTGATCATTGAGGTCTTTGTTCCTTGGCAGCTGTCTGGTCCGGAGCAGCAACCTGACAGAACTCCTGCATCTTCAGAGGTGATCACACCGATGGATCAGGGCATCAAGTCCACCTGATCAGCAGCTCCAAGCTCATACTTGCCCTCTTCAGTTTTATGGAAGCAACAAGAATGTTGGAACCTGATGTGACTTTTTTTGAACACTTGAAGTGAATGTTTTTAGAAAATGATTAAACCAGATCATTTTTAATATGTTCCGATACGTAAAACCTTAGAAAAGAGTGGGTTTTTCTTTTTCAGAGAAAACACAAAGGACCAGAGTAATAAGCGCTGCTGACATGATAAAAAGCAAGCAAGCCGTCAGTGAGGACTTACAAGTGTCTGTTGCATATCTAATGTGCTCCCCGTTGCAGGTACTGATGAAAAGCTGAACTTGGGAGAAGAGCGTCTCAAAGTCTGGGATGTTTGGCATGGAGAACTTTACAAATCTGAAGCAGAGGAGAAGAGTAGAAGGCTCTTTAACAAAGACAAGACTTTTATATTACCGTAAATGAAACTTTCAACTTACAAAAAATAACAAGGAACAAATAAAAAAGATAAAACAAAGTTTTACCAGAAAAGCAGATCAAATATTACATTTTTTAGAAAAGGTTTATATATGAGACTACACCCCAAATAATAATCATTACTTATTATAAGTGTTTCATATTTGGATTAAAACATAATAATCTTTTTGTGCATTCACTGAGACAGTGTCTCACTGAGCTGTGACTGTTCACGACAAACTGGGAACAGACTTTAAGAGGGAGTCTTCAAAATATCTCGAAAAGTCTGAAAGTATTTGCGGGGGGGGGGTCAGTTTCCTTATACGGGTCGGATGATGTTGCAGTCTCGTCACTTGAATTTCAAACTTTAAAAAAGAAAAACAAACACAAGTCAAATTTTCTCTCAAAACAGTTGCAAAGCCGTTGCGGGTGTCTCAAACTCTCCTGAATTTAGTTTGTCATTTTCATGAACTCCCATTTATCTTGTTGCTGCTGTATGGAAACCTGTTAGTAACTTTACACTGTATGCATTGTTTGAAACCGCTAAAAAAAAACATGTGCCTAAGTGTTTGTGAAAAAATAAATCTGCTTGGTCTCAGTGCAGTTTTGTTGGTCACACCGGCACAGGCCAAGACATTGACACCACCCCCTTGAAAAGGTGGAACAAATAAACAGTGGCTTTTTTATCACAGCAAATTTATCAATATCAGGTCTGTGGTGCCCTGAGGAGCGCACTAATGATAGCACACATGGTGTGTATTGCAACTCGTTCAATCAGAGCGTTATTACACCACAGACTCTGTGCAGGTGTCCTGAAGCAGATGCTGCTTGCAGAGAAAACACAACCTACATGTTTGTGTTTACAGACAAACAAATTAATTATTTTTGGATCGTATCGCCTGATTTGAACAGATTTGTGTTTTTGGATTCCTTCGGTCTTGGGATATTCAAAAAAACACTTAGAGCTACAACCACAAATATTCAGGTAAAAAAAAATAATTAAGGAAAATCGCACCAAAGGCAAGAAATTATTAAAGAACTTGTCCAAACCAGCTGATCTGTACAAATCATAATGTAGAGGAAGATTCCAAGGTGGGTACAACGTGGGCAGGGAGGGCAACAAAATTATTTACACAGCCTAGAATCCAGCTCTGCTAGCCGTGCGCTCTCAAAAGGTGGTAAAAATGTGGACGCAAGGCTCAGCGGTCCCAAACACAAAACTTTGTGAGTGTGAAATAAAACATCACCTCTTTGCTTGCAATTTTGAGTCACCAACTTGTCTCAGTCCAGTGAGATCCTGGCTATACTAACACATGCTACAAACAGAAAAGAGCAACAATAGAAGCCACATGTTAAGGTGGAAGAGGCTAAAGGCTTACAGCACAGCCAGCACGCCAAGGGAGTGCTCCTGGATGTCCAAAGCCCCCAGCACCGTGTCCAGGTGGGACAGATTTTTGGCCAGCAGCTCCCCACTCTTGTTGATCAGCTCACACAGTTGAGTCATCTGACCTGGGAGGGAAACGGCGTAGTGGATGACAAAAACAAGACAAAAGTTAAACGCTCTGTGCCCTTTGGAAACTCAGAAAGCATCACCAAAGCTTTACAGGAGTTTGTTTTAATAGTGAGCAGCTGTTACATTATTATGATAAAGTGTTAGGATGGGACAGGTGTATGACCATGTTTAAAATTTAAGCAAACGAGAAACATGCTGAAAGCACAAGGAACAGATCCTGACTTTTCCTTTCAACTTTGCTCGTGTTGAGGTGTATTTTACTTTCCTCACCCAAATAGTTTTTTTATTCACTCACATCAATGAGCTGTCTTCATAAAGGCAGAGCACACACTAACGCATTACAGTTTCTAATCAACGCGCTGTAAGATATTTCAGCACAAATGCTCGGTCTGATGTCCTGTCAAGGCCTTGCAAAAGGAGTAGGGCAAAAAGGACTGACAGAGGACTTTCAGCCAATAGAATTTGAGATTTTGGTTCTCCAGCCAATCAGGTGAGACGTGGGCGGGACTACCGGCAAGCAGAAACCAGAAATTATTTTCCAGATCAGGAACAAAAAGTATAATTTTGATAATTCGTGCAATGAACTGTATAGTTTACTTGTATCGTTAGAGTCTCTATGTACCAACGCATCTGATAATTATTGTTTACACAACACTTGTGGTCTTACAAAGTCATTTTTGCGGTCTGTTTACATGATAAAGGGAAAAAGAGGGGTCTGGCCAGTTCGGCTGCCTAGCTATCGGCAAGGCATTGGTTAGCATAAGCTAGCTAACTAGCAAAGACTTCTCATTCCGATGAGTTCAGCAGACCTACCTTGAGCGGAGAGCTGCCGCACATTGTTCACAAACTGCTCCAAGGCTGAAGCCATTATTTCCTGGGTCGAAAGTGGAGGTAATTTGCACTGTTTTTCATTCAAACGTCAGAAACAACTCGGTCCGGACTGAGACAGGGGGCCAAACAGCCGCCACTGATGTGACGTTATCGCGAGATCGACCGAACTGCAACGAGATTCACGCACCGTCTTTGAGCTTCTTAAAGGGACAGGCACACAAATGACATACAGCAGTGCAGCTTTTTAACACTATTTAATAGTTCACATTTAGGAGCCATTGCTTTTTATATATAAAGATCCTGTCCAATGCAAAAGCAAATACTTTTAAAGCATCATCTGACAGTAGTCTTACAAACATGAACATATCAGTTTAAAAAAAAACAACTAATGACATAAATAAACATCAGTTTGTCTTACATATTTTTTACTAGGATGTTATTGTTTAGGATTCGAAGTTGTTGCACCTAGTGTCTGTTTTTAAGTAAAAGCTTATCTAAATAAAATGACAAAAATAAAGGTACATTATGGCTAAAAAACAAACTTGTGTTTTGTTACTTTAGAAAGTCTTCAGTTTGATCTAATAATGATGTAGAAATGTGGTTTATCTAAAATTACTATAATGTAAAACAGCATGTTTACATATCTGGTTGTTAAAAACAAAGATTATATATCATATCGTGCTGCTGTTCGGCGTGTTGTATTTGTACTACTAGTGCTTAGTGTATTTTTATTAACGTTTTTCTTGGTTCATATCTTAGATCTTATTACTGTTTTTCTTTGACATTTTATACCTTTGTCGGATGTTACTGGGACCCTGTGTACACAATTTCGTTCCACCACATGTACTAGATGTGGCGCGAATGACAACTAAAGAAACAGTTAAAACGACTACGACGTGAACCATCTTGCCTGCACTAACCATCTTTGAGAGGAGCAGGTTTTTGGAGAACAGCTTGTTCTCGCAGCGGAACGGTTCCTCTTTTTGCTATCACACAACTCGATATGAGCTACATTTCAGCTACTTTACCTCTAGAGTAATGCTGCAGCTGCAGTGGAGTGACTTGTGTCAGCTGACAGACTGCTCTCATTACGGCAGCATGTTATTATTTAACCCGCTGCTGCCGCTCTCCATCCGCTGACCGCTAGCTTAGCCTGCCAGCTAGCTAGCTGAGACGTCCAGAGATGAAGTTAAGCTAACAGTAAAACACAAACAGCTGCAGTAATAGCACCAAATACCGACACAGCTTTGACTTTAAAGTCTTTTGGAAACTTGTCGGCCTCCATGTAGAATTTATCGACTTTTCTGCTCTCTCCGTTCGGAGGGGTGACCGCCATTGGCCCCGCCGCAGCCGAGGACCGACGATGTTTGTCTCCACCGCAACTCGCCTGCTCGGAAGAGGGAGCACTTTGCTCCCTGAGCCGCTGAGCAGGATCCGCGTAAACATGTCGTCCTCCTCGGGTAAGAGACTGCGGGTTCTGGTGGACATGGACGGGGTCCTGGCGGACTTCGAGGGGGGGTTCCTGAAGAAGTTCCGGGCCAGGTACCCGGAGGAGCCCTTCGTGTCTCTGGAGCAGAGGAGAGGTTTCTGGGTGTCCACGCAGTACGGCCTGCTGAGGAGCGACTTGTGCGTGAGTGGAGCCCAAACCAGTCTCTGGAAATGTTTCAGTTTGATCAGAGTTAAACCAGTTCAGTGTTAAACCAGTTCAGAGTGTGAGGGGACTGAATCATCCATGTGGATCAGTGACAGTCCAAAGGTCTGGAGTCTCCCTGCATGGTTGTTTTCATGTATAAAAGTTGAGTTACAGTAAAAAAAAAATAAAAAAAAAAAAAATGAAAACTGAATGTTGGAGCAGATCCATCAAGTTTGTGGGAGTTTTGTCAACATGCTCCACCACGGCTACAACTCACGTTGAAACTCCATAAAATCAAAGTCTTATTTCTTTTTGTGGGGTCCTAAACTGTTTTGTCCCAACAGTACCTAGATATCCACAGATGGAAATGCATTCATTTGAACCCTTCATTAAAGACTGGAAACCCTAAACGTGATCTGTAAAACAACTCAAACTGACTAAACTAATGAAGAATAGGTTTAACTAAGAAAATAATGAAGCCGGCCTTGACTTAAAAGATGCTAAACCTTATTAATGTTTTGTTGCACAACTTTCTGACGGTGGCTCAGTTGGTAGAGCTGCTGCCTCTCAGCGATAAGGTCGCTGGATCAAATCCCAGCAAAGAGGCCATTCTGGGAGGAGTTTGCATGTTCATGTGCATGCGTGGGTTTTCTCCAGGTACTCCAGTTTCCTCCCACAGACCAAAAACATGCATGTTAGACTGGTAACTGGTGAGAGTAGAGAGTGTTTGTCTCTTATGTGTCTCTGGGATGGACTGGAGACCTGTCCAGGGTGTCCTCTGCCTTTCACACAGTGACTGCTGGATATGGGCACCAGTGACCCCAGTGATCTGAAAACAAAGAAGCAGGTAAAGATGATGGATGGTAACTTTCTGAGACTTGCACCTGTCCACGGGTATTCTGGTCCACTCCTTGTGAGTAAACGGCTCCGTCTTTATCAGTTTGAAGGCCTCCTTCTCCTCCTCCTCCAGGCTTCAGCTCCTTCCGCTCATGTTCTGCAGGATTTAGATCCAGGCTCAGAGGCCTCTTCACACGAACCATTTTGGGTGATTCAGGATGTGTTTGAGTCACTATTCTGTTGGAGGAGCCAGACCTGATTTTCTGACTCTGGGCAGCACATTTCTCTTCAGATGGTCTTGAGATTTAATTGGACCATTCCCAGATTCAAGACTGTCAGAACAGAACAGGGCTTCCTCCATGGTTCCTGGCAGGTTCAGGGTTATTTCTGTTTTTTCTTGTGAAAATGTTCCAGTTTCGTCTCGTCGGTCTGAAGGACGTTCTCTTAAAAGCTTTGCGGTTTATCAGAATGCAGTTTGAGTAACTCCAGTCACGCCTTTCATGATTTGTTTCCATCATTGATGTCATCTCTGCCGTGTTCTTTGAAGATCCCTTTAGCTTCTAAACCAAAGATTGAATAAACCCGGCACGTTAATTAAAGGACGTACCTTAGCTTCTCAAATCACTGTGGTGACATTTTTACATTCTTTTTTAGAGACACCAAGGGATGCACAGTATTATCGGCATGTATCGGCCGATATTAGCGATAAAGTTAAATATTGGACATCGGCCATTCCATCAAAATAACTCACCGATATAAAAGGCTTTTGTTTTAAGTGAACTTTTTTATTTAAGAAACTCAAGTATATCTATTAATGCACTAGTACTTATATGCTTTTAACTTGTCGCTTGTGAACAGGTTGAGTTTAAATTAGTGAAAAATGTACAAATCTGCACTGTTTCAGTGTCATTGTGTTAGAGAGTAAATGTCATGAATAAATCTGACATTAAACATAACCCAAGTTGAAGTGTTACATCATTTTCAGCTCCTTTTTGGTATCTGCATTTGGTAACTGGCCAAATTGACAAAGACCTGCAGAATAATGTAGTACAGGTCCTTCTCAAAAAATTAGCATATTGTGATAAAGGTCATTATTTTCCATAATGTAATGATAAAAATGAAACTTTCATATATTTCAGATTCATTGCACAACAACTGAAATATTTCAGGTCTTTAATTGTTTTAATACTGATGATTATGGCATACAGCTCATGAAAACCCAAAATGCCTGTCCCAAAAAATTAGCATATTTCATCCCACCAATGAAAGACAAGTGTTTTTAATACAAAAAACGCCAACCTTCAAATAATCATGTTCAGTTATGCACTCAATACTTGGTCGGGATTCCTTTTGCATGAATGACTGCTTCAATGCGGCGTGGCATGGAGGCAATCAGCCTGTGGCACTGCTGAGGTGTTATGGAGGCCCAGGATGCTTCGATAGCGGCCTTAAGCTCATCCAGAGTGTTGGGTCTTGCGTCTCTCAACTTTCTCTTCACAATATCCCACAGGTTCTCTATGGGGTTCAGGTCAGGAGAGTTGGCAGGCCAATTGAGCACAGTAATACCATGGTCAGTAAACCATTTACCAGTGGTTTTGGCACTGTGAGCAGGTGCCAGGTCATGCTGAAAAATGAAATCTTCATCTCCATAAAGCTTTTCAGCAGATGGAAGCATGAAGTGCTCCAAAATCTCCTGATAGCTAGCTGCATTGACCCTGCCCTTGATAAAACACAGTGGACCAACACCAGCAGATGACATGGCAACCCAGTGACTGTGGAAACGTGACACTGGACCTCAAGCAATGTGAATTCTGTGTCTCCTCTCTTCCTCCAGACTCTGGGACCTTGATTTCCAAAGGAAATGCAAAATTTACTGTAATCAGAGAACATAACTTTGGACCACTCAGCAGCAGTCCCAGGTGAGATGCTTCTGCCGCTGTTTCTGGTTCAAGAGTGTCTTGACCTGGGGAATGTGGCACCTGTAGCCCATTTCCTGCACACGCCTGTGCACGGTGGCTCTGGATGTTTCTACTCCAGACTCAGTCCACTGCTTCCGCAGGTCCCCCAAGGACTGGAATCGGCCCTTCTCCACAATCTTCCTCAGGGTCCGGTCACCTCTTCTCATTGTGCAGCGTTTTCTGCCACACTTTTCCCTTCCCACAGACTTCCCACTGAGGTGCCTTGATACAGCACTCTGGGAACAGCCTATTCGTTCAGCAATTTCTTTCTGTGTCTTACCCTCTTGCTTGAGGGCGTCAATGATGGCCTTCTGGACAGCAGTCAGGTCGGCAGTCTTACCCATGATTGCGGTTTTGAGTAATGAACAAGGCTGGGAGTTTTTAAAAGCCTCAGGAATCTTTTGCAGGTGTTTAGAGTTACGTCGTTGATTCAGATGGTTAGGTTAATAGCTTGTTTAGAGAACCTTTTCATGATATGCTAATTTTTTGGGACAGGCATTTTGGGTTTTCATGAGCTGTATGCCATAATCATCAGTATTAAAACAATTAAAGACCTGAAATATTTCAGTTGGTGTGCAATGAATCTGAAATATATGAAAGTTTCATTTTTATCATTACATTATGGAAAATAATGACCTTTATCACAATATGCTAATTTTTTGAGAAGGACCTGTATTTTAATTCCACAGCAGAGAAAGATATGTAGGTCTTAGGAAAAATATCAGTATTGGTATCGGTTATTGGCCACAAATCCAATATTGTGCATCCTTAATTCAAGTACTAAAATGACTCCTAACTTAATGGATGAAGTCATTTTGAGCAACAGAAAAGTCAGCCAGAAGAAATATCCAGGATCTTATGTGCCTGGGGCACTTTGGTCTTATTGTTTTGTCCCTTTGGACAGGTTTGTGTTGGCTAATCTGCCTTTTATTGTTTTGTGTACATTTTCACAAATCCAACGGCGCGCTTGACGTCATAACTTTGTGCTGGCGCTGCAGGCATCCATGTCACTGGGTTGTCATACAAAAACAGCGCCTTTATTTATTTATATATATATATAAATAACGCCTTTTTATATTGTCGAGTTATTTTGATGGAATGGCCAATGTCCGATATTTAACCACTAATATCGGCCAATATCATGCTGATAATATCGTGCATCCCTAATTTGAGTCAAGTAACTTAACATAAAAAGTTAATTCTTAAACCTGCTGAGTACTCTGGGAAACCACTCCCACACATAGGAAGAACATGGAAACTACTCAGAAAGGCCAGGAGGCAAACATGTGACCTTTTTGCAGCTCTAACCACCGTGTTGCCCTGGGTTAGATCAATGTTGAGCAATTTAGCAAAATAAAACATTTCTCCCAAATTCTTCAGGTATAGTTGAATGAACAAGATGTGTTTCAAGTGGAACGTGGACAGACCTTTAGAAGCCCTTGAGGATTATTGTTTGAAACAACTTCTGTGACTTTAAAATAAAGTGGTGCTGTTTTGAAGTGAACCTTAAAGAAAGGAGGGCATGTTCAACACTAACATGTTGTGTAAAAACAGGACTTTGTGCGTCGTTTCTTTAGCTGCGTGTGTGTTTGGCTTTGGACTGCAGGAGAAAGCCATCAGTATCTGGGAGTCCAAAGGCTTCTTCATAGACCTGGAGCCTCTGCCTGGAGGAGTGGAGGCCGTGAGAGAAATGGCCAGGATTGATGAGTAAGTCTCCAAGATGCACTGCTCTCATTAAATAGATTAAAAATAAAGTTTTCTGAGCAGCAGGGCGTGCATGCTGGAATGACCTTACTGTTTTAAGGTGTAAACTGCATGGATCAGTTTTGTAATGGGGAGAAAGTATTCATTAAGTATAATGTACTGCAATTTAGCTGTTAGAGCAGAAGCAGTAAAATTATCCAAACACATTAACCTCTTACTCAGTCAGGTAGTGTGCAGAAACCATAGCTGAGATTAAAAATCAAAGTTTCTTCAGGTGTAGACGGATGGGTGAGCTGGACCAACGCTGTCAGCAGGAAGCTGGGTCCGTGCTCAAGTTCAACTTGTTTTTTGTGTCATATGCAAAGTTTACAGTACAATGAAATGCTCGGGATGAGAAGAAGCGATTTGTAGGGGTGCACCGCTTGCAGTTTTCTGGCCGAGCACAGATTTCTAAAAAGTTTGACCTGCCGATACCAATGTTGTTTTATAATCGACACTGTCAGGTGTTATAAGTTCACAATGCACCTTCAATTTTCTAATATTATTTTATTGAAAAACAGACCCTTGAACAATATCCTAGAAACAATACAAACTAGTTCTAACTGGCCATGAGGTACTGTTCTGAAATATAAATGAAGTTCAGACAATTGTTGTTTAAAAACATTTTTTTTTTAATCGGTAAAATCTGTTTGTAATGCAAGCATCGGTCGATTTCCCAAATTTAAGGAAATCGGGGCTGATAAATCGGCCAGTTGACTTATCGGTGCACCCCTACCGATTTGACTCGCTTAAAACAAAGAACAAACAAACAAGAAATAATAAAAGCATGCAATTAGGGTACAAAATAAAGTACTTAAAAGTGGAAAAGTAATTATAATATTTACAAGGTCCTAAAGAGAAAATGGTAAACAACAACATGGTAGAATTTTAACAGTGCAAGCAGGATGAATTGGTATGAACAAGTATTTCAAGGTAGTAATATAAGCTAAAATGCACATGATATACATTGTACATAACTATATACCACACAGGTTGTGTGGCAGGTTATTGCACTGGTAGTGACAGTGAGATTCAATTATGATGGTATGGTAGTGACATACATGATACAGCCACGTAATGCATTAGCAATAAAAATATTAGGTGTCACAGATGGTGCTAAGTTATTTCCAGTTGTTCAGTGTTATTTATTGAGAGTTCAGTAATCTGACAGCTTGTGGATAATAACTGTCTTTAGTCTTTTCATGCATGATGACAGACTCCTGTATCGTCTGCCTGACAGTAGTAGATGGAAGTCCTTGTGCTGGATGGGTGTGGTCCTTCATGATGCTGCGTGCTTTACACAGACATCGGCTGTGGTAGATGTCCTGGATGTTGTGGAGACTGGTACCAGTGATGTCCTCTGCTGTTTGCACCACCCTCTGTAGAGCTTTCTGACTGGTGCAGTTGCTGTACCACCCTGTGATGCAGCCTGTCAGCAGGCTCTCAACGGTGCACCTATAAAAGTTGCTGAGGGTGTTGGTGTCCATATCAAACTTCTTTGTTGAAGTCCAAACTCACTCGTGGGATTCAGGCGTTCAGTTTTTACCGGAGGTTCTGCAAAGTGTTGCATCAGTACCAAAAGGCTCTGTACGTGAACTACAATGTACCAACCAGTTAAGGAATTAAGTCTAAATCACACCTGTAGCTGCCGACTTTACTAATCCTCATTTATCCAGTGTAGTTACTGCAGCGACTGGAGCTGGTGAGGTCAGAATGTAATGTTTGGACTCTAGAGGGCAGCAAACCCAACATCAAAATGAACAAACCACGATTTGTTGCAGCTGGGTACTAAATGTTACTTACATTCCATATTTATTAATTGTACCAATGAAACTGTACATTTCTCTCACCAGAGTCCAGTCTGATGTTGTGGTTTTTTTCTGGAGACTTATGAATGAGACACATTCTACAACAGCACGACTGCTGTTTGGCACCTCCTGGTTCTGTTTGGCTCATATGATGCTGTTGTACTTGGTCTAGCTCCACGTCTTTGTGCCTCGTTAGTTGTTGCGGTGGACATGGAGTCGTTAAAACGGGCTATTTGGGATGTTGCTTTGGTCCAGTGAGCATCAGATGTTAAACCTCCTACAGAAAAGATCCGACGACCTGTCAATGTCCACACACAAAACAAAATGGACAAAAGGAGGATTTAGATTTAGTATGTGTGGACTAAAATATTCACATGTTACCTGTTTATTATTACACACAACTAATCTCATGCATATTTTTGGGGACAGCATAGTATCTGCAGACACCTGTTGTTATCCACCTAACGTGGGTTTCTTAACTTTATTTATATCTGAACTCTTCCGTCAACTTTAATGCGGCCCGAACTGCAACGTGTACCTCCACAAATGTTCTATCAAAACGACCGACTCGGTGTCGTGATCACTTTTATTGGCATTTCGAGTTACCATGGCAACATATTTTGCTAACAAAGATGCCATATTTCCCCATAGGAAGTGAACGCTCCTCATGCTTACTGCTGCTGAAGTTTGGTGAGGGTATAGCTGAGAACGTTCCCGATCACATGCTGGATCCAAATCAAAAATCCAAGATGGCCGCCTTAGCTAAAAATGAAAAATTGCAATAACACTGCCATTTTTAGAGCTATTCAGCTCAAATTTGGCAAAGTGGTAGCTGACAGCAAACCCCAACACACAGTACTGTCAAATCACAATTTTAAATCGGCAGCAGCCCGACAGTCCCTGTCAACGTTTCTCCTGGAACGTTCTAGTTTCGTCTTATTGTCATTTTATTAAGCAGCAGCCTCTGCAGAGCCACGTCGGTATTAGTTTGTCTTTAGTTAGAACTATCGTGTTTAGGTGCAGGACTTTCAGGGGCCGTGCTTGGTTTAGAGAAAACCTCATCTGTTCCATTCTGCGTCCAAAGGTAACCCTCTGATGATGTCACTTCCTGTGACGGCCTGTAGCATCAGACTGCGTTCACGTCACCTACACACTCTTTCATTCATGGTTTGCGTCAGGACATAATGAGAATGATCTCAGCCCACCTACGCTGCCTTCACTGTGTTTAGGAGGGAACGCAGCTGATCAGGTGTATTGATCAACGGATCTTTCAGTCCATTCAGGTTTTGGATGTGTGTTAACACAAGGCCAGGGTGGAAAGACATCAGCTACGACCTCGGAGAAGCAGGTGCTGCAGCTCAGCAGGCTGGGACAGGTCAAAGTTTGCTTCTAAACTATTTGGAGTCCATCATTTTAAAGTGAGGGAGATTATTGACGGCTGGAAAACATTAATGACAGAATGTTCCAGCCAGTTCATCCAAAGCTCAAACTGCGACGCTCAGAGAAATGGCTGAACTAAAAAGTGTTTAATAAAACAAGAGCTCTAAGTCAGTTAGCCGGTCAGAAAAAGGGCTGCCAGGTGAAAGACTGTCCTCTAAAGAGAACCTGACAGCACAACCGTAATCTGCAGCTTCATCTGAATGGACCACCAAACTTCTGGAACAATGTTCTTCAAACCAGTGGTTCCCAACCCTGGTCCTTGAGGAACACCATCCTGCATGTTTTAGCTCTTTCCCTGCTTTGACACACCTGATTTGGTGATTAACAGGCTTTGGCACAACCTGAGGAAGTAATTAAATCACAATATCAGGTGTGTTGAAGCAGCGAAACAGCTAAAGTATGCAGAGTGGTGTTCCTCAAGGACCAGGGTTGGGAACCATTGCTTTAGACCTACAGAACCAAAGATGAGCAGGTTATCCATAATGCACAGCAGCAACAAACAGCTTGTTCGGCTGGCAGGCACGGTGGTGGAAGGGTGATGATCTGGGCTTGTTTTGGGTGCCCTGCAGCCGTTGAGTCGACCTTGACCTCTGGTGACCAAAGGTCAAATGGTCACGACTAATAAAGACCTTTAACCTCTCCAGGGTTGGTCACTCGCTACATGCAGTACCTTTTGATATTCTCACACACACCGTGCATATTGATGGTACAGTGTCATGCAGTAGAAGACTTTGGGTTGCTGCAGGGGACGGGGATCGAACCCCTGACCTTCGGAAGATGATCAACCTTCCCTCTGGGCCTAGAGTCAGCTGTGAGGTCTTCTGTCCGGGTCATGAAACAGAACTATAAAGTGCTGTGCTGCTGAGCAGAGACAAAGGTGTGCAAACCTGGATGAGCTGGAGCAACGTTGTAAAGAAGAGTGGGCCAGACTGTCTGCACTGATGCAGTCACACAGACACTGAGAGGTGCTGCTAAAGAAGGTTCTGAATGATGGGCTGGACTTAGTTTGATACGTTTTGACTTCATTTTGTTTAGTAAATAACAACACGGTTGTGTTTTTGTATCATTTTGATCATCTTGTGACCTGACACATAAAACCTTGAGACTGGAGCGGGGTGGACTTTCTTTGTGTTGTTAGATAAAATGTTTCTGCTGTGTGCGACTTGTTTGGTCTTAATCACCGTATCGTTTCCAGTTACTCACAGCCGGCGTGGGCCAGAGTCAGACAGGTTTGATTGTCATTTCAGCACCAAGTACACACTGAAATGAAACCGTGCTCCTCCAGGATCACGTTGCAACACAGAACACAACGTGCAAAACAAAACAACAGTGCAGATACACAACTGAACAATAAACACAAACAGACATCTAACCTAATCTAAACGTTCTAATCTAAAGTGAGAGACAAGACTAGAGACACGTGTTGATTAGTACATATGTAACACAGAAACATGTTCTCATGTGAGGTTAGCTGTGTAAAGGTTTTAGCTGAGTAAGGTGCAAAAATGCAAAACTTTAGCAGATTGCAAAAACATGCAAGTAAAGAACTCAAACGTAACAACACAATAAAACATTCAGTGGTTCCCAACCCTGGTCCTTGAGGAACACCACCCCACATATTTTAGCTGTTTCCCTGCTTCAACACACCCGATTCTGATTTAACTTCCTCAAGTTCTGCCAAAGCCCGTTAGGCACCAAATGACTCGAATCAGGTGTCAACGCACGGAAACAGCTAAAACATGCAGGATGGTGTTCCTCAAGGACCAGGGTTGGGAACCACTGAGATTCTAGACTTTTTTTTTTTTTTTTTTGGCTGAGATGTTTCTGACCTGACTGAACATTGTTGGATTATTACCTGGATTACTGAGCATGAACTTTGGTGTTTTGAACCATTTTGGTATGACTGCCTCAGAGGAGTTGACAAGGGAGAGGGTGGGCTTCAGAAACCATCTCATCACCAGCAAACTGGCTTTTTCCACTATGGAAGTGTGGTATTTGTGGGACTCCAGTTTGTTTGGTGGCTTCTCAGACTGAAGAAGTCCTTCGGATGAAGGACGAAACGTCTCAGCAAAAAAAAAAAAAAAAACCTCCAGATGACCTGACTGACCATTGTTGGATTATTACCTGGATTATTGAGCATGAACTGTTAGTACAACACAGTAGTTGTGTGTATTTAGGTTGTGTGTGTGCCAGAGTCTGTTTAGTGTGTGTTTGTGTGTCACAGTCCATTGTGGCCAGAGTCCAGTGGGGGTTGTGCAGCTGGAGTATAAACAAATAAACACTTGTTGTTTTCCTCTTTCAGCACAGATGTGTTTATTTGCACCAGCCCCATCAAACATTACAAACACTGCCCGTCTGAGAAGGTAAACAACATCTTCCCCTTCAACATCGTTAATGTGTTTAATTTACCCTCATTGATTTTCTGTGTGTGTGTGTGTGTGTGTGTGCGCGCGCGCGCGCGCGTGTGTGTGTGTGTGTGTGTGTGTTTCTAGTACGCCTGGGTAGAGAAACATTTGGGCCATGACTTCCTGGAGCAGGTCATCCTGACCAGAGATAAAACATTAATCTCCGGTGATCTCCTCATAGACGACAAGCCCGACATCCAAGGTAGGCTTTGTTCCTTCACAGCACACACGCCAGCAAGGATGAGCTGTCGGATTAATTCATCTTTTACATTCTCTAATCTGCAGTTACCTGTAAGGCTGCAGGATTATTGAAGCTTTGGCAGCTTCAGGGTGAATAGTGGCTCCAGAAGTCTTTTAATTATTTATATTTGTTCCCTCCAGTCACTGATCGAGTCACAACACAGGATGTGTGAGCAGCATGCTGCACGCCGTGTTTAGGGACAACGACATGTTAACACAAACGGTTTAAAGCAGCTGTGAGGCACGGTGGAGGAGGTTCATGGTTTGGGCTGTGTTGCAGCTGTAGACAAACAGAAATATTCAGCGTTGCTCCTTTAGGTGGCTCTAAAACAAATCACGTATCCTTGTCAGATTTTAAACTCTTCTGCTGCATTTAGTGTTTGTTCGATAATTAATAACAGTGTAATGCTTCATGTGAGACCATATTTTAATATTTTTTTAATAATCAAATTGAGCAGTGGCCGTCATGTTTTCCCTCCAGTCGGTTCTTAAAGTCCATAAATCCCTGCTTGGCTCTTCTTTTAGCAGCTGCTCATAAAATCCTGCAAGTCAATTAAACATTTCATTTCCTTCAAATCATAATGTTTATTTCAATCCATATGTTGTTGATAATTCTTTGGTTTTGTTAAGGGATTATTAAAAGATCATGACAATAAAACTAAACTCCAAACCTTCAGTTTGGATTTTGATTGTCTAGCTACATTTTGCTCATTGTTGTAGCTTAAAACAATAAAATGCACACGTCTAAAGTTTGAATCCAGATGAACATCCTGCCGTGAATAAAACATTAAAAGTTGTGACAGATGATTGTTAATTTCTAAACGGCGCTCTGTTCCTTCACGCTCAGCTTCTGCAGCAGCGTATAAGATCCTGTCGTTTGGTGGTAAAATAAAAACATGTACGTTTCAGTACGGATGTCCCTGGACTCTGAAACTCCTCAGTCCTCACCTCTGGTCTCACTTTGAGCCCCGTCAGCTCTGTCCTTGTTGTTTTTAATCGTGGTGTTTGTGTGTCCTGGTCAGGCGTGGAGAACCACCCAGCGTGGGAACACGTCCTGTTCACGGCCTGCCACAACAAGCACCTGCCCCCCCACCCCAGTCAGAAGCGCCTCCTGTCCTGGGCGGACAACTGGCAGGCCATCCTGGACAGCAAACGGCAGTGAGGACGTCCACGAAGCAGAGTCCTGGACACTTTCCACTTCTGAAGCCGAACTGTTGCTGTAACCCAGTTTGACCAGCAGAGGGCAGCGACACACCGAGTGTTGCTCCTGTTGACTCATCAAGCCACAATGTTTGCACGATAAGTTTAAAAAATCGGTACAGGCTGCTTTTATTACGTGTTTTTTGTTCCTGAATGTGGACGTGTTTTATTTTCAGCCTCTGCAGCGGTTTTTCTGCAGCCTTCATCGCAAACGACCGGTTGAGTAAATATATCGGAGCGCTGTGATTCACAGTCAGGCTCCGAATCAGTAACAGAAACGACCTCGCAGAGCCCAAGGTGTTGTTGCACAGATTTATGAATATTGTAGCTGTTTTCACAAATTAACACGAAGACCACGTTAATGCTCTAACATCTGCAGGTGATTGAAAACAGCTGCTTGGTTTTTGTTATGTAATCTGACAATCTATGCATGTTGCCAAAAACAAGCTCATTTAAATTAATATAATTACTTATTAATGTAAAAATGTAAATTTAGATTGACTTTAGAAAAGTTCTTATTTAAAAATATATTTCTTTACTACTTTCTAAAAGTAGTTTAATGGAAATGCTTGAATTATTTTCCAGTTGGATGCGTCTGATGACGTTTACTGTAATAATAAGAAGATACTTTAATGTTTTTAGCGGTTTACAACAGGCTGAAGTTTAATTTCAAACATTAAAATGTTTGTTTCTGCACGTCACTTTTCCAAAAGCTTCTTACTATGAAGGATCGCTCGTGTTTACAGCAAGAGGACCAAAATGTGCTGAGGTTTGCAAAGCGCCGTGTTTGAGTTTGGTTTAGTGTTTGTGTGTTCTGACCCGTGTGGACGAGCTGCTGCTGTTCAGCTTCACCATGTTTGATTGTTGTTGTGCAGCTCGTTGAACTTCGTTCTCATCGTGTTCAATGTACAAATGAAAATGTTCCATCTCCAAATCAATTAAAACACTACATTATAAAATAAACTCTAAATTATCTTCTTTATGAAGGAAGTTGGATTGTTTTTAGGCATTGTTTAGATAATTGTCATATAGAGGTCAACAATGCAATGAAATGTTTAGGATGAGAAAAACAGATTCGACTCGCAAAAAAAAAAAAAAGCAATACTAAAGCATGCAATAAAAGTACAAAAATTAAAAGAAATATATTTACAAGGTCCAAAAGAAATATCGTAAACAACAACATGGTAGAATATAACGGTGCAAGCAGGATGAATTAGTATGAAAAAGTATTTCGAAGGTAGTAATATTAGCTTAAATGTACAGTAGTCCCTCGTGGGGGATCCATACCCTGAAGCCCTGCGATAAGTGAAAAAAACGTGAAGTAGGAATAGTAGTACAAGTAGTAGTAGTTTTGCATGCAGGTGCTAAATAATTTATATATATATATATATATATTTAAATTCAATGCTGATCGTGCAGCTCATTCATCAATCAGCCAACTGTGAGTCATGTTCAATCTTATTTTGAGAAACCGCTATAGCGCGAGTCTGCGATAAACGAACCATGGAGCAGCGTGGGCCTACTGTATATGATATATATTGCACATAATTAACAAACTACACAGGTTGTGCGACAGGTTATTGCACAGGTAGTAAAGTTGAGATGAATTATGAAGGTATGGTAGTGACATGGGGCAGCACGGTGGCACAACTGGTAGAGCTGCTGCCTCTCAGTGAGCAGGTCCTTGGTTCAAACCCCGGTCCAGGGGCCTTTCTGGGTGGAGTTTGCATGTTCTCTCCGTGCATGCGTGGGTTTTCTCCGGGTACTCCAGTTTCCTCCCACAGACCAAAAACATGCATGTTAGGCTGATTGGTAACTCTAAATTGTCCCTAGGTGTGAATGAGAGAGTGAATGGTTGTTTGTCTCGTTTGTCTCTATGTGTCCCTGTGATGGACTTGCGACCCATCCAGGGTGTACCCCGCCCCTCGCACAGTGATTGCTGGACATGGGCACCAGCGACCCCCCTGACCCAAAATGGAATAAGCGGGTAAAGATAATGGATGGATGGATGGGTAGTGACATACATGATGCAGCCACATCGTACAGCAGCAATAAATATATTAGGTGTCACACATGTGGCTTAGTGCAATGTTATTTTCAGTAGTTCAGTAGTATTCAGTAGTCTTTTTAGTGTATGTCTTAGATCCTTGTATACTGTTTGTTTTTATACTTTATATTTTTGGGTGTAACTGGGACCTTGAGTACACGGTTACATTCCACCTCATGTACCTTATTTGTGTCATTGAGAATGACAATAAAGAAACTTGATCTTGTATTATCAAGAGTTCAGTAAGCTGACAGCTTGTGGGCAATAACTGTCTTTGAGTCTTTGGTGGCAGGCTCCTGTACCGTCTGCCTGGTGAGGTTATTTTGCTGACACAAGCTGGTCAGTGATTTCACGTCTCTTTCTCAACTCTCGTTGATGTTGTTATCCAACATGGCCGCACTCAGAGCAGTTGCAGCTTCACAGGCTCCCGGTACGATCCCAGTTTTCAGAAGTTTTGATATTGACTCCGTGCCTGACTCCGCACAATTTATGCATGTGAACTATAGCCGAACCAAATTGATGAGAATAGGAGCGGACTTGCCACGAAATATAGCAGAAATCAGCAACAAACTCAAAACTACGCTTGGCAGAATGCAGATCTTAAAGTCATCTACCTGGAAGCTGCAGCAGAGGCGTTCCAACAGGCAGAAGAGGAAGCGTTGCTCCTGGCTTAAGAAGAGAAGACGCCGGGTGGGGGTTCTGGTGAGGCTACGTGCTAATGCTAAAGCCAGAAAACTCCCAATGCCATCTCTCTGTCGAATGCCCACTCGTTGGACAACAAGATGGATTTGCTTCGTCTGAGAGCGGGCGCCTCAGAAGAGATGATGAAGTGTGCGGTGCTTTGCCTCATAGAAACATGGATTACAAGCGAAATGCAAGATTCAGCCTTTCAGATGGATGGCAGACTCTTTTTTTCGAGCAGATCGCTGTAGCAAGCTAACGGGGAAATCACAGGGGGGCAGAGTGTGCATTTACGTGAGTAAAAGTTGGTGCATGAACGGTACTGTGGTAAAACACTCATGCTCAAAGGCGTTGGAGCAGCTAACAGTGAAATGTCGACCACATTACCTACTCTGCAAGTTCATAGTGACTTTCATTACTGTTGTTTACATTCCTCCGGATGCTAATGAAGTTCTCCAGGAGCTCCATGATCTCCTCAGCTTGCTGCAGAACAAACACCCTGATGCTCTTTACATAGTGGCTGGTGACTTTAATCACGTGAATCTAAAAGACTACCTCCCAAGTTTTTACCAGCATGTGGGCATACCAACAGGTGGAAACAACACGCTGGACCGTGTTTACACGAATGTAAAAGATGCATACAAAGTTGAACCCTGCACCCACCTAGGACTATCAGACCACATCTCAATATTCCTGACTCCTGCTTACATGCCCCCACTGACACGCTCCAGACCGGTATAAAAGAAAGTTAAATGTTGGATCCAGGATAGTGGCCCCATACTGAGAGATTGTTTTGAACGAACAAACTGGCAGGTTTTCAGAGAAGCTGCTGAAAATGGAGGTTCGCTTGATCTGGACCAATACACATCCTCAGTTCTGGGTTACATTAGTACATGTACTGACACCGTCTCTACGATCAGATATGTTAAAAGGTACCCAAACAGAAAACCTTGGCTGAATGCAGAGGTGCACACCCTGCTGGCAGCCAGGAACACTGCCTTCAGGTCTGGAAACTCAGAGGAGCTGAGAAGGACAAGGAAAGAGCTGGTTGTTGGCATTAAGAGGACCAAGGCCACATATGCACAGAGGATCCAGGGGCAATTCACCTCACAAGATCCACTGAGCATGTGGAGGGGCATTAAGTGTATAACAGATTATAAAGGCGGGAGCGAACAACGCCTCAAAGACCCATCTCTGCCTGATGCCCTCAACAAGTTCTATGCACACTTTGAAGATCCGAACAGGCAACCCAGCACCAGACTCATCTCACCACTCGATGAAGAGCATCTCCGCGTGACCTCAGCACAAGTAAGGGGTACTTTCAGGAGGATTAACCCTCACAAAGCAACCGGTCCAGACAACATCCTCGGGAAATTCTTGAAAGAATGTGCCAATCAGCTCTGCGAGGTGCTGGTCAACATCGACCTCACCCTGATGGACAAACTATTCACACTAGGACTAACCCCCTCCATTTGCAACTGGGTACTAGATTTCTTAGCAAACAGACCACAGTCAGTAAGGATCCACAACTTCTCCTCCTCCACCATAACCCTCAACACTAGCTCTCCTCAGGGATGTGTGTTGAGCCTTCTCCTGTTCACTCTGCTCACATGATTTTGCAGCTCCCCACCCAGGCTGTCACATTGTAAAGTTTTTAGATGATACAGCGGTGGTGGGATGCATCACAAACGATGAGTCCAGCTACAGGCAAGAGGTGGAACATCTGGAGAGCTGGTGCAAATAGAATAACCTTCACATCAATGTGAAGAAGACAAGGGAGATGATCGTGGACTTCAGACGAAACAAACGCACCTACACCCCCCTGAACATAGGAGGATCTGCGGTGGAAATGGGTCTCCAGCTACAAGTACTTGGGTGTACACCTGAATGACAACCTCAGCTGGGACAACAACACTACCAGCCTTAAGAAAGCTCATCAGAGACTCTACTTCCTCAGACGGCTGAGATGAACTAGTCAGCTCAGTCCTCACCTCCTTCTACAGGTGTGCAGCGGAGAGCATCCTGAGCTCCAGCATCAACATGTGGCATGGAGGTTGCACAGCTGCAGAAAGAAAAGCTTTGCAGAAAGTGGTGAAGGCTGCACAGAAGACTGTTGGAGTCAGCCTCCCCACCATCACAGACATTTACACCTCCAGATGCAGGAAGAGAGCCACCTGCATCATGAAAGACCCCGCTCACCCAGTACACACACTTTTTGCCCCGCTCCCCTCAGGAAGGATGTTAAGGAGCATTAAGTGTAGAACCACTAGCCTGAAGAAGAGCTTCTACCCTGAGGCTATTAGACTCATGAATATCTAACCAGGATAATCACTGTGAAAAATCACGTCATGTTGCTGCTGATCTGTTCCATGTTGATGTGTTCATT